ATTCAGATCATTGAAATATCACCAGCTCACGATCCATATCAATGCCACTGTGTATGTTGACACGTCTGCACATATTATGGATGATTTGTGGGTCATCGTTGAAAGATTTCTTGACAAATGCACGATTCACTTACTCTTTTCAAATCACACATCTTCCATAGTCCAATATCGTGCAGTTTCATGTGTGATACATGCTGTGCTGCGTGCTGTTTTGTCTCAGCATTTCCTTTAGGATTTAGTAGTATATTTAGTATATTTAGTTGTTCCCTTCATATTTAAGAACAAGAAAATTTTCAATCATTTGGTTCTACACCAATAATTGTGTACATCGATGCATATGTGGTAAGAGTCAGCCCTGACGTTGTTTCGACTAATAGAAATGCATAATGAGCTTGCATCACTATGATGTGTTGATTGTGATGAGAAAAGTGACCAGGTTATTTACTATATCTTAAACCTAGTGATATCAAATAGCATGGAATTCATGCAATATATCTCGGTAATTTACAAACTCAAATACAGACAGCTAGTTAGGTAAACGGATGGAGCTTATGTCAACGTCTACAAGATTGAATGATTGAAAGTCGATCAAGTTCTTCTTTGTCACCACGGCAGCCAACTACACTTGTGACAAGTGTTTCCATTCTGTCGAAATACCGTTGAATTCAATGCGAGTCAGTTTCCACAAATAAATAATTTGGAGATTGCCTCCTGATTCCCTTAGTGAACGAGATCCATGGTTATGCAATACAAATAATGGTGTGATATTCCTAGTTTGCTTCTTTGCCTATACACTTTCAAATTACAGATGCATACATCAGTCATCTACAGTGTTTCCTTCGCTTGGATCACAGCAGCAGGGTCATTCAACATCTGCTTCATTTTGCTGACTTCAGCCAATCCATTATGACTAAGATTCTAATAATGCAAGCAAGTATGAATGTGCAGACGGAGACATGTATAAAATGGATTGACTGTCAAGACAAAATGAAATACCATGTACACGTGATTTTCATCTCCATAATCTCTGTTTGCTTCGAGTACTTTGAAGTTGTCGATATCCCACTCACCTGAAGGTAATCTCTTCAGTTGACAAACTTTTCTCTGGCACATAATTTGAACCATTTGAACAAGACACAACAACAGCACTGACAATATCATTGTTTCTTCTTGATGCTGATCCTGAAGGTGAAGTGAAAATGTTTGTGTGAACAGCATAAAATCTTTTATCAAAACACAAAATCGATGTACCCAACTTCCCATGTTATTCAGTGAGAGAGGAGGATGAGAACTGACTGGCGAAACGTGAATCTGTGACAGTTTTCTTTAAGAGTGTGGAAATCTTAAAGAGTGAGACACTGAGCACGGTTAGATTTATGTTTCAGTAGTCAATGTCATAGGTGAGTTTCAAGGTGACAGATGGAAGAACACGACGCTGAGAAGAGTGTAGTATAACTAAGACGATATACAAGGCTTACAGTCGCAATGCAAGACACTTCACCTCACTAACTTTCACATCCACAAGTTGCAGTTCACATGTTCCTCTGTCTGTCAATCAATGGCATATCAATGAAGTAGTTGTTATCCATGAAATAATAGCAGTAGAATGTGGAGGGCTCTGGCACCAAATGGAATCAATGAAGGTGACCAATTCTATCTTCCATACAACCATATCAAGCCTCAATCAACTAACGGTTCAACACTGTCATGACTGCATTTCAAAGCACTTTACAGAGTCTGCTTCCTCACTACGTATGACATAAAGCCAATCGATTTGAGTGGTATGTCGATTTGAAACCTATGCAAAATAAGTTGGCTTAAAATACCCTACTCTGACAGAGAATAGTATCACATGGAATGTTCACCTTTTCCTAAGGCATAACTCAGGGAGTATTCTGAAGCAGCATCATGCATGACATACCTACATGCATGGTGTTGTCAGTTTGACTCATATTTTGCACTAATATAAATAGCTACCACAGCTGTCGAACTATCTAAAATTTGATATAAGACTGTGTGAACACTATGAAGAAACGTACACGTGTATTTATGATAAGTGTGTAACTAATATGGTAGGCGAACACGCATTTCAGCTATTCTCACATTTCATGTGTATCACAACATGATGCTAACACCTTAGCTTAAAAAAGATGAATGCCCTGAGTACTACATGTTGAGAATTGTGCAAAAGAATCAGCTAGTTTTGTCATTGTAGACAGTTTGTTGAGAGTGATTATTCCAGTGGACAAGATATTCTCAGCATACATTCACCTTTGATTTGGAAATATTATTTCGCTAGATGAAATTCTTTGTAATGGAATAGGTGTTTATAGGGGAGGAAAGTGAGATGCATACTATTGAGGCGAGAAGAAATATTTCCCCACTAGGGATGAGAACACTGACAATGCATATAAGTCAGATGAACTGTAACAGTGTTTGTTTCAGAATGCACCACAAGTGGAACGACTCACCTCATCAACCTACATACACCAATATGTTCAGTTAGAAACATAAATAGTCAGTACATGCCATTATATTAGAGTGAAAATGAAGTAAGATAACTCAGTTTACAGAAGACAATACAATACTCACCAGAAATAAATAAGGTTCACTGCGGAAAGGTATTCACCTAGTTGTTTAACGTAGCATCAGTTGCTCTCCTTATATACACATCATTACATACATTGGTAGGTTGATGATTAATAGAATCGTCTGCGGGTCTGTTTCATCGAAAATAAACTTCACTCGTTGCCATTATCTGCTTGATAGATTGAACAAAGAAACATAACTAATAACTAGATTAGTTTCAGAAACATAAACAGCATTTCAAATGTTAACATAATCCACTTCTGAGATATTTCAACAATTAATAAATCAGATAATAAACATCTAGGCCATAGTTATCATGAATGTCCTGAAAGAAGTTGAGCGCCGAGTCAGGTTGATTCATTATATACGTAAGTTATAATATAATATCAGAGTGTTTAGAAAATCGAAAACAAGATTTTTATGAACATTTCGCTGTGTATGCCACAGCTTCTTCAGAAGAATATTCGGATTTTTATTTAACATCAAAATATATACTGTCAATAGGTACATGTAGAAATTTCTTTGTATCATTGAATGACACATTTTCCATAAAAGGTTTACACACATATGTACACACGCACGTTGATTATTGAATCGTTCTTTGATGACAAATGACAAAGACTGGATGAATTTACAATGACTAACTAGAAACAATCAGTCTGAACAACAAAACAGCTAACCAATAACACAAATACATAAATTTCTACACGTATCTTTTAACAGTATATATTTTGATAGTAAATAAAAATCCGAATATTCTTCTGAAGAAGCTGTGGCATACACAGCGAAACGTTCAGAGAAAACATGTTTTCGATTTTCTAAACACCCTAGGTTTATATCAAAACTCACCTATATAATAAATCAGATATTTTCAAAATAAGTGCATTAGTAGGATATCAGCAATTAGTTTCTAATTCAGAAATATGATCTCATAAAAGTATCTTACAGAGTTTTGTTACATATTAACAAACAGGAGAAACTGCACTATTATCCAGTTGAATTAGACACAGCGGATTGAAGCCAGTGTTCCAAGTGTTACGAATCAAGTGACTAGACAGATTTATCTCATCACCGATCCCACAATTATTAAATATTACATCAAAAAGTCAGTGTAGTATTGAAAACAGTATTACATGGTAATTTTCAACATAACGGAGTAGATCTACTCTTTAAAGCAAACTTAAGTGTAAGAGTTTTCTAGATGGAGACTAGGTTAAAATACACATCAATCAGTGTGATGTATAAACCTCAAAATTCTGAACTTCATAACTGTGATTGGTGATCCCGTCTATCCTTTTCAGATCATATCCATAAGCAAAATCAATCAACTTTTCTAATTATAGTCGACTGCTCTAGTTTAAGCAACTTGCAAATTATCGTGATTAACTATTCCCCACCAAATTAACAAAACGTGCACGCCATCTCATCCAACCACACAAGTGTCCAAGCAAAACCTAACTGATATAAAGAAGACTGTCACAGGTTGGCAGCTTCTGGTGGGCTCTATCCAACGCAAACTCTATTCATCATACGTACTAAGAGATGTCTTATAAAATAGTGTGATTCTGCCCGACACGCTTATTTACTAGACTATGGGTCTATGATACAACT